CGCAGGGGAACCAAAGGCGGGTCGAATTCTCATAGCAATTGGTATACATGTGCGCACAGTTGAGCTGCGCGGTTTCATCGTCTGTTGATGTTGGCGGCAGAACAAAGTGCATGCCACTCTTTGGGTTTTCGGCAGAGAACTCAATACGTATCCGCAGGCCACGTCCTTCTTGAATCAGCGAATAGCCCTCCGGCGGCACTTGTATAAGCAGCTCCCCATTGTTGACATCCGGATCTGTGATTTGGGCTGCAGCCAAATGATGCTTTGAGTAGACCTCCAGAGAGCGGCTGCATTGTGTGTGTATATGTATTATGTTAAGGAAGGGCAGCCACAGCTAATGCTTAACTAACCTCTTGGGTTCCTTGTGGCAAATGTCCTGAAACGGATCGAAGTAAACGAACTCCGCGTGGCAGACATCGTTGAGCACCACGCTGTAAATGCGCAGCTGCTTGGCGTTAAGGCGTATCAGTCGAAGGCTCTCGTTATTGGGCACTATGGTCAGCTCTACCATGCCCTGTGAATGACATATCATTTATTTCATAATTCATATTGTGCAGTTTTTCTGTCAGAAATCTTACAATTATGCTGCGCCGCTCAAAACTAATTCCGGTGAGGCTCACAACCTGATGCGCCGTGCTGGAAGGAAAGGAAAACATGAATTGCCGAGTCTCAAGGGCTAGCAGAGCAAAACTTATAATTTGAATGGCCGCAGCGGGACCTCCGGCACCTCAGGTTGTGTGTCCATAATTTTTTGGCGTTGATTTGCACACTTTTTAAAGGATCTGTATATTGTTATCAATATCACCGCATTGTTTATTTTTTCACATTGCGTCTTCTTCTTCTAACAAACTGCAGCTTTAGCTAAAAATGCCAGCAAAATATAATACTAAATGTTGCAGCATGGCAACTCTATATCGCGATTTGCAGCCCTGAGTACTACCTTTAACACTGATGCTGCTCATGGTGTTATTTTAAGGCATTGATAAATATTATATCCAGATGTTTTTTGTTCAACTGCCCTGTTAAATGGCATAAAAGTATTTAAATTGACCAAATTACAAAAGTTAAAAGTGTAATACGTGTTTATCAAAGACTTCCTCAACAATTACTAATTAATTTGGATAAATTACATTGTAAAAAATATACATACACACAAGTGTTAAGATGTGAATCATCTATTCATAAGAAAGTTAATTTTGGATATATCTTCCATTTAAAACGTATTTTTCCCCAGTCGAGTCAGCAGTTTTCACGCAACAGCGTCGAGCTGCGTTCCCTCTAATAGTTGTTTATAATTTCAGTGCTGCGTAAATCAATAAAAAAAAATTAGAAGTTGATTAATTTTAGAAGAAAAGCACAAGAAACAGTGATATAAAATGTACGGCATTGATAATTATCCAAAAAATTATCATGCGAGCGGAATTGGCCTTGTCAATCTGGCGGCCCTCGGCTACAGCAAGAATGAAGTCAGCGACGATGCGCCGAGCAAACCGAAGTCTGGGCTGTACCCCTCGCTGCCCTACCCTTCGTCGGAGTCCGTGGGCGGCATGCCATATGTGGTAAAGCAAACGGCGCAGGCACAAAATGCCTCGTATCAGGCCGGCAGCATGGGCATGCCACAGCCGCAAGCAACGCCGTATCCAAGCGCTGGCTTGTATCCCAATCTGCCAGCGATGCCGCTGCCGTATCCATCCACGCCCCTGGCGCCCATACCGAGTGCATCGCCATATCCCAGTGCCACGCCTTATCCGAGTGCCACACCTTACCCGAATGCAAGGCCCTATCCGAGCGCAGCACCGTATCCGAGTGGATTGCCGTCACTGCCTTATCCATCGGCTGGCGGAATGGGAATGCCCGGCATGCCCATGCCCTACGCGCCCTTGCCGACCAGTCCGGCACCGCAGTCGATCTACCCATCGATGCCAGCGCCATCTGCGCCGGAGGCCAGTGCACCCTCGCCCGAGGAGGAGCCATCCGTGGGCATACAGGAGCTGCAGTTTACCAGTGTCAAAGTGCCCGAGAATCAAAACATGTTCTGGATGGGCCGCAAGGCCAGTACAACGCGTCAGAAGAGCGTCCAAGGTACCGACTTTGCCACGCTGCGTGAGTCTTGTGTGTCCAATGGTACAATGTTCGAGGATCCTGATTTTCCGGCTAATGATGCCTCACTGATGTTCTCGCGTCGTCCGGATCGCTACATCGAATGGCTGCGACCCGGCGACATTGTGGACGATCCGCAGTTCTTTGTTGAGGGCTACTCGCGCTTCGATGTGCAGCAGGGCGAACTAGGAGATTGCTGGCTGTTGGCCGCAGCTGCGAATCTGACGCAGGACTCGAAGCTCTTCTTCCGCGTGATACCACCGGATCAGGATTTCCAGGAGAACTATGCGGGCATATTCCATTTCAAGTTCTGGCAATATGGCAAATGGGTGGAGGTCGTCATCGATGATCGTCTGCCCACCTACCACGGGGAGCTGATATACATGCACTCCACGGAGAAAAATGAGTTCTGGAGCGCGCTGCTGGAGAAGGCCTACGCCAAGCTTCATGGCTCCTATGAGGCCCTGAAGGGTTGGTTGAGAGAAAAAACATGATTTGTTTTGGATAATTCTTAACATCTTTACTTTTACAGGCGGCACCACTTGCGAGGCCATGGAGGACTTTACTGGCGGTGTGACCGAATGGTATGACATCAAGGAGGCTCCACCGAATCTATTTAGCATTATGACCAAGGCTGCGGAGCGTGGCTCGATGATGGGCTGCTCTCTGGAGCCGGATCCGCATGTGCTGGAGGCCGAAACGCGCGAGGGTCTGATACGCGGTCATGCGTACTCCATAACGAAGGTCTGCCTCTTGGACATATCGACGCCCAATCGTCAGGGCAAGCTGCCCATGATACGCATGCGTAATCCTTGGGGCAATGAGGCCGAATGGAGCGGCCCCTGGAGCGACAGCTCGCCCGAGTGGCGCTTTATACCGGAACACCAGAAGGAAGAGATTGGCTTGAATTTCGATCGTGATGGTGAATTCTGGATGTCCTTCCAAGACTTTCTCAACCACTTTGATCGCGTCGAGATTTGCAATATGTCGCCAGACTCGTTGACCGAAAATCAGCAGCAGAACTCGCGCCGCAAGTGGGAGATGTCCATGTTCGAAGGCGAGTGGACTTCGGGCGTGACGGCGGGCGGCTGCCGCAACTTTTTGGAAACCTTCTGGCACAATCCGCAGTATATTATTTCGCTGGAGGATCCCGACGAGGAGGACGACGACGGAAAATGCACGGTGATTGTGGCCCTGATGCAAAAGAATCGTCGCAGCAAGCGCAACGTGGGCATCGATTGCCTGACCATTGGCTTTGCCATTTACCATCTGACGGATCGCGATATGCAGGTAAAGCCGCAGGGCTTGAACTTCTTCAAGTATCGCGCCTCGGTGGCGCGTTCACCGCATTTTATCAATACACGTGAGGTTTGTGCACGCTTCAAGCTGCCTCCCGGTCATTATTTGATAATTCCCTCGACCTTTGATCCGAACGAGGAGGGCGAGTTTATAATACGCGTCTTCTCTGAGACCATGAACAACATGGAGGAGAACGACGATGCGGTCGGTTTTGGCGAGACGGATGATCGCATTGCGCCCGCACTGCCACCACCCACACCCAAGGAGGAGGATGATCCACAGCGCATTGCACTCAAGCGTCTCTTCGACAGCGTTGCGGGCAGCGACGAGGAGGTGGACTGGCAGGAACTCAAGCGCATACTGGATCATTCGATGCGCGACGTCATGGTCGGCACCGATGGCTTCTCCAAGGATGCGGTACGCTCCATGGTCGCCATGCTGGACAAGGATCGTTCCGGCCGTCTCGGCTTTGATGAGTTCGAAGCGCTCCTCACAGACATTGCCAAATGGCGTGCCGTATTCAAGCTCTATGACACCCGACGCTCCGGCACCATCGATGGCTTCCACTTGCGTGGCGCTCTCAACTCTGCAGGCTATCATCTGAACAATCGGCTGCTCAATGCGCTGGCCCACCGCTACGGCTCACGGGAGGGCAAAGTGCCCTTCGATGATTTCCTCATGTGCGCCATCAAGGTGAAGACCTTCATCGAGATGTTCCGCGAACGTGACACAGACAATTCCGATACGGCATTCTTTAATCTAGATGATTGGCTGGAGCACACTATCTACTCCTAAAGAGCCACTCACCCAACCAGTTTAATCTTAACTAATCCTAAGTGCCACGTTTACTTATACACGATATATACATATATAATTAGATGCTGTACGGATGATGATGCACTCATGACGCTGCAGCGAATCAACAAAGGCGAACCTTATCACATAACAAACGCTACAGTAAGACCACAACTAAACGGAAATACAAATTCATGTGTACATTAATTTTATTGACCTTCAGGCGCCTCACGCGGCGGCGCTCGACTAGGGTAGAAAAGAGAAAAAAAAGTCAAATAAAAACCAGAAAATCAACAGAACATGCCGATTGCGCTGTGTGTACAGAGGCATTATACATGTAGATACTGGCCCAGTATATATGATATATATATAGTATATATAGCGTGCGCATAGTTGTATTTATGACTAATGGCTAAATGGAACTGGGCCTTTATTCACATTCTTCGCAATAGCCAAAAAGCCGCCAGTACAAAATGATATATGTGCTTTATAGTAACTAACAAAATGCTGCAGTATAAAGAAGTTTTATTATTAAAATATCTATCTTATGTATATTTTTTACACTATTGCAATCTCTTGTTAAATATTTTGTTCAAACTCGGAAGCTAATCGATCAAAAATGCGGCTATTAAATGAACTCTCCTCTGTATCTAAGGGCAGCTATGGAAGCCACAACGAATCACATTTAAAAGTGTTTATATGAATAAAATATAATATAGTTTTGACTAAATACTCAGCAAAACAAGTTTGTATACAAAAAAAAGTGATTCGAAACAAGTTTACAACTCGAATTAAATATGAACTAATTTCTATGTGCAATTGTTATCAACTTTATGACTAAACGTATTATTTTATGCTGTTTTTTTTCACATTATTAAATTTAAAATTTGTGAGTACAATTATTTAACCACGACTATTTCGGTGGCGCCGGTGGGCGGTCCAGCGGCGACAAGTGTGTCCTTAAAATCCTCATAGTTAATATCAGCGTCCATGCTCAGATGCTGCAGCACCTCAAGGAAATCCTCATACTCCAGACGCCACTTTCTGAATCATAGAGAAAATGAAATGCGTCATCACATCAGATCTATTACAATAGTTAACTGTGGATAATATTGTACTTGTAGCGCATATAGATGAGTCCAGTTTGTGTGCGCGTTATGGGCACCGGCATCAGCTTGGCCTGCTGCAGCCAGTTGTCCAGCTGCGAGAGTAAAATGCTGTGGAACTCCTCGTTCTCCAGCTCGTTGCCCAGCACCTGGATAAAAGTATAAAATATATAAAAAAGTGAAAAGTCATGTGAATATATAGACAAATTGTGACCTTGTGATTGCAGTAAACATGGAAGAGCGAGTCGAGTGTGTGTTTCTTTGGTTTATCCTCATCATCGGCCATGGCGCAGCGCAAAGGATCGTAGCTGAAAGCTCTAACAACCAAATAAACTAGAACTATACTATATACAAGTTGTGTGTTTCGGACGGTTAATAAAAAGCAGAAAGTACACACAATTTCGTGTGTATATTTGGAAATGTTTTTGTTGACAAACAAAGCGCCAGGCAACTGAACTGTATATAAATTATGTGTGTTAATAATTCATGTGTGTGTATGATGGGTGAGTGTATGTGTGTGTGCGTGTGTGTGCGCATGATTTGTTGCCAAGTGTTTCGGTTGTTGTCGTCGTCGCTTGCGTGGGCGTCCCGGCATGTATTCCAGTCTTTGTTTATTTGGCTGCCACTTCCACGTCCGCGTCCCCGGTGCCGTTCTGTGCGTTGAACTTGTCGACCAGACGCTGCACGTAGCTGACCAGCTTGGGCAGATTCTGCTTGGCGGTTATGTCGCTGGTGCGATAGGGCGGCGCTATGGTCACCTGCTGCAGCACCAGTATGCTGTCCAACTGCCAGGAGAGCTCGCTGCTGCCAAAGTGCTTCGTGAGCATTGTGAACATTTGCCTGCCACGCGGTGTGGCATGCTCATTGCGGCTGCGCAGCAAGTTCTCGCGCTGCTCCACAGACTGCTGCAAACGCTGATCGAGCTGCAAGTGGAAAATTAAGAGAAATACACTAAATTGATTGTCTTCATTCAACCTACGCGCAACAGATTGAGGCGAGCCGGCGGCTCGTTGAGGTTAGTATCCGGTGTCTTTGCCTCGCGTATGATTTTCAAGTTCTTGCAAAAGTCCAAATTCACAATGCTCTGATTGAGGCACTTTTTGCCTTTGCTATCCTTGCCCGGGCAGCTCAGTATTAGCATTTTCACGCTGTGCTCGTAGGTCACCACCTCGCCAGTTATGTGGTCGCCAAAGCAGGTCTCCACGTGCAATTGAGTGCCAATAGGGAAAGGATTAAACGACATTTTCTTCAGTTCAGAGCTCGAAAAAAATTGCTTGACAGCGCTCGGAAAGCGTTTGACGTAACAGTGCTGCCAAGTGTTGCCAAATTCTAGCTAGCTTTGCGATCTCGCTCTAGCAAAGGCAATTAATCAAGAATAAGAATATATTCCCTTGACAACAGAATTTCCCCTGTCGGCACTTACAGCTGTATATTTCTTAACCAGTCAGAAAAATATAGGGATTTTTTAGTTTTTTATTTCACTTTATTTACAATGTATGTGTATGTATGCTAAATATATAACTAAATATAAATGTTGTGTATATATATATATATATTTCAAAAGTAAACCTTTCCTTTTTAATATAATGTATACGATGTTTAACCGCTTTTTTTTTGTTGCTGTCTAAATTGTTGTTGCATGAGCGTTGATTTTCTCTATTAGATTTTATAATTTTTATTTGTTCTTCAAGACATATTATTTAGTTAATTGTAGGTGTATATACGCAATTATGTACCTTCATTAGCACTATTAGCTATACGCTTTCGATTATATCTAACGCCCCAAAAATGTTAAAAACACATGCTGTTTGTTGCTGTTTCTGCGTTTGGCGTAACTCGAGAAAAGTGCATTATTAAATTCTTAGTACGTTGAAAGAAAGCAAAACTAAAAACAAACAATTCTAAGCGCATTATTTATCGAGAATAAATATCGAAAGATATGGAACAAACACGTACACAAAACATATTTATACAATTCAAGAACACAAACGTATAAAATTATACATTATTGTATATATAGAAATATGAAAAAATGGCGCTTAGATATTTATAAAAATTTGCTTTAATATGCTATAGATGTGGTGCAATTTCGTCGGTCCGTCGGTCCGTCTGTCCGTCGTCCCGTCCCGTCCCCCTTGAACGAATAACTGCCTACTGTTTTTAGTTTCCATTTTAGCACTTTCAATGTAATCGCTTTTAAGCATTTGCTTTGTTTTTGTGTTTACGGTTTTGTTTTAAATTAGGTTTTACGCGCTCGGCTTAAAGTCTTAATTATGCTTTTAGAAATCACTTTAAATGGGGAGTTACTTGCTGACGAATTTGCTAAGTTTAATATTAATTCAACACGAATAACTCTTTAAAGATGCGCGACAAAACAACGTATTCTGTTATTTCGTTATAATATATATATATATATATATATGTATGTATATATATATATTACTTTAATTAGTAGCTGGCGGTTCTGCATATGAAAATTGTGGTGGATTGCTTGCCCTTTTGTTGTGTTCTACTTGCGTTTGTTTTACGGGGTTTTGTTTAATATCAAAAGGAATGAATTATATGCATAATATATACGTATATATGTTGACACATATATATATTTATAAAAATAAAACAATGCACTTCCATATTAACCGACACGCCGCGAATCTTACATGGGTCCATCGATCGCGCTCACTTTAAGCCGGAAATAGTAAATGGAACGCGCCAACATGGTAGCCGCAATGAAAAACAAGGCAATATAAAGGATATACATGCCGCCATGATTCTGTTAACAAAAGGAGAGAGTATTTAGTTACGGGCGATTGATTATATTGAGTGGCACCTACCGATGCATATGAGATGGTGCCAACGGTCAGGCCAATGCTACCAATAAGGAAGAGCAATGCGACAATAGCAAATAAAACGCCGCGGCTGTTGGCGAAACGTGAGCCCACCGAGGAGACCTTCCTGCAGTGTGGGCAGCGAGCCAATGCGTTGTGATAGGTGTTAAACTGTGGGCAACAAAGGAGATTCAGTTAAGTTTAAAATAAATCATATATAAAATTCACAATATAACTCAAACTAGACTACACTGGCATAGTAAATAGCAGCTCTGGTTATTCTTAGTGATTGCTCTTACCAAAAACGTGTCCGAGCAGTGGCCACAAGTGACACGGCACATGCCCGGCATGGTGGGCACGGGCGGTGTCACTGGACTTGGAGCCAAATTGATAATGCGCTTGCAATTGGGGCGTGGGCAAGCGATGCGCTGCGAGGAGCTCTTGCAGATTAGCAAACAATTGCAAGGACAGCGCACGTACTTCTTGCCGGGTGGCGCATTACGTATGGGCTGCAATAAAACATTAAATAGAATACACAAAAGGAGCTATAAGAACTCTACTCACAGTTGCCTCATTGCAGTGGGTGCACTTGACCACGTGTTGCTCCCGTTTTGTGGTTATGTCAATCATGTTCTGGCACACGCGACAGGTGACCATGGGCACGCCGCCGGTTCCGCTGCTCTGATAGGGCGGCGGCAGCTCATCGGGACCAATAAATGGCACCGACTGTGCAGTGCTGCCTGGAAAAACCAAAGAAAAACGAGATGTCAGTATTGGAAAGGGGTCACCCATGACAACCATAAACCTTTAGTGTAAAACAAGTACATCTTGCTGCAGTAGCAACTGCCGTTGCACTACAGCAGCTGATACTGCAGCATCTGCGAGCTGCATGAAAGCGTTCGATTGATATCTCCGTATGTGGGCGTGACAGTGTTTACAGATAAATGCAAGTGTGTCAATGTTTAGGCGTTTCGGTGGGCACCTTTAGCTAAGCAAGTCAAATCGGCATTTGTGCCACATTTGGATGCCTCATTGCGGTTTCAAACAAGCTCGTACTTTGTGCACCAAACTGCAAGCCCAAGATGTTAGGGCAACAAGACATTAAGCGGCAGCTATAAATAGCTCACAGCCTTGGCATGAAAGGGTGTACACTGATCAGGTTCTGGACAGCGACAAAGGCGCTGCGACGGCACGGAGTGAGGGGGACTCACGACATTGTCTCTGCACAACGATAATGGAAAAACAGGCGCATGACTCATGCAGTGCCTCTTTGCCTGCTGCCAACCATCGCATCGCTGCTGCTGTCGCTGATTAAACAGCTGAACGACGACGCTACCGTCGCGTTTCTGCTGGCACAGCTTTGATATCAGGGCAAGAACAAAACAATAGGCATATGAAAAGGTTCAGAGTTTTAAGTCGATGTTTGTATGTTTCTTAAAAGCTGTTAGCTGCGATTATTATTTAAAAACTATTTCATATTTCAAATATATACTATAACTATACTCTGGGAAAAAGCATCAAAAGCCCTTTGAAAATCAAAGTGTGCGATAATAATAACAAAGTATAGTAGTAAAAGTTTTTCGTAACTTTTAGTTTAATATTATTAATGATTTAAACAAAGTTACGCATCTATTTATTTTAATTAAATATGTGAATTTCACATCAAATTGAATGTCTTCACATTTAGATCCCTAATAATTTTAGATAGATCAATTGAGAAAACCAAAATGAACACATAAAGCGCATTCCCCACAGATTTTGCCCACCTGTTACAAACGCTACGACATAGTTGCGATTGCCGGCACAATAGTGTGTTGAACAATGGCAATTAGCTGCGAATTCGACTGCGATTCGGCATCAAGTTACGAACTTTCTGCGAATGTCGCGTAAACGGGTAGGCATGGCGCCCACGCCCAGCCCAGCCCACTATATCCATGACTCAGTTAGGGGAAGTGTGAAAAGCTAGGCATGAAATGGAAGACTAGACTTGAAATCACAGTGGCTGCTAAGTAGAGCGCACACTTGTTGGGTTTCCACCCGAAGACAGTCGGACCCCGCATATGCAGATCCGTAAGACCAGTTACACACGCATGCGGGCGGACTGTCGGTCGTTCGGTTGGGGTGTTGCGACGAGTTGAACGCACTTATTTTGCCTAGGGTTAGATTAACTATACGTACCGTCTTCATTATTGGCTACAGCACTGCTGCCGGGATTTTCAGCGCCCTCGGCTGGAAACGATGTGTACGAGGCCGTGGTCGGCTCGTCTTTGTTGATCAAGCTCTGGCGCTCGGGATCAGACATATCGGTGCTTTTTCTCTATGCACAAACGCAACTCCCGTTAGTAATGCACCCAAATTGCAATTGTCGCCCGCTGCTGTTGTTGTTTTTGCTGTTGCTTCTTTTTGTACACCGCAACGCAAATGCTTCAACTGCAAATAATAAAAAAATAAAAACGCACACAGTTTATTGGTGCCCTATAAGCATATTTTTAGTTGCTTAACAGTAGATCGCGATTTCTTTGTTTGGTGCATAGGCTTGTTTTTTCCTACATAGTTTTTTTTTTTCTGTTTTACACTTGCTGTTGAATCCTCCCTTTTCGGCATGCGCCGCAATAATCAATTTTATAGCCGTTTTAGCTGGATCGGCAGCATAAATCCAGCATACAGTTTTGATATTTATCACTTGCCAAGTTGATGTATACAATAGTGCTAATTGTTTAATGTTTATAGGTTTATTGTTCTACATTTTACCTTATTTTGTTGAAATTGCACTGCTGCTGATTTCGACGCACATTTGAGTCGATTGGCCACACTGTTGCCTTAATTCTGGTCAAACTGGCCAGACTTTTTGTGCACCCCTGCAGTTGCTTCTGTGACCCTGGCATAGTGCTGCCACTACAGCTCAGCTGATACGCGTGTTTACCATACGAATGTACAATTAAAAGCGGCCAAACTTTAAAATGTCTCAGAATAATGAAAAAGAACCTATAATAAAAGATGCAGAGGAAACAATATGCAGTACTTCAAAAGATAATGACGACCATAACAATTCCAGTGATTCGGAAACACAAATGATAAATCTAAGTCTGCGACGCAAATCCCGCCATCGTCTGTTTACACAAAGCTTCTCATTTAATGCGTTGCCAATGCGGATTGTTTGCGCCGGGGAAACGGAATGCATTCGTGCTAATCCAAGTTCCACACGTGAAGTGACTTTAAACGCCCCTCAAGTTATTGACGATGGCTCGGATATAGATGCGGATGCTGAACTTCATATATCCAATGACAGCAGCAGTGACGGCACAACAAAAAAATCTATTGTATATCCTGGTCGATCATTGGCAAAATCGGATTTACATGTGACGAGAACGATACGCAGACGTAAAATTCGAAGAAAGTTCATACGTTACAAAACAATGTAGAAATATCGTAAAATATATATGACTAGTTAATATAAATTCTGCATTTAAATTTAACTGCAACAAAGGTATCGACTGCACTGCACAGGGCTGGTTGCCACGCGTACTTTACAACACTGCGCCAGGGCTACAGGTTGGTTTGTGCATTTTGGAGTAGTGGTAAATTTTTACAGGCATAACTATTTATATGCGGTTTTTATGTAAATAAACCAAAGCGAACATAGTCAAATAATTCGTAAAGTGTAAGTAATGCATGCCAATTACCATTACATGTGCTGTAATGACTAATGTCAGTCGTATTATGGCAAAACAGGCGTGTGAAAATGTGCGATGATTTCATTTTGTGGTGCTGCTGCTGCGCGTTGTTGTATTGGAAACTTCGTCGTATCTTTGCTTTGACGCGCTTGTTGTTGTTGTTGTTTTGCTGTTGTTGGCTTAGGTACGGGAAACGCAGAGCCAAACTGGCGGCGACGTCAGCGACGCGAACAAATGTTTATGTAGCTGCCGATGTAGGGCGGCATAGACAACAACAACAACAGCGATAACAACAACAATGCTTAGAACACCTGTTTCTAATTGATTTTTCACATTTTCAGCAACGCTTTCAGATCCCTGACTTAACCGCAACAACTGTGTTTTGGCATTATTAAAATAGAAATTCGGAAGTGAAGTGCCACAAAACATAATCAACAGGCCAATTAAATAACGAATTTGCTTAGTAATAGTTAGATAGAAAAGCCAATAAGCAACGAACGAACGAACATTTCTAACCCAGTTTGAACACCGACGAGTAAACATCAAATAAAGCACCCGAAATGGAGGCCCCACCAATGTTTAACAGCGTTGAGGATGAGTGCAGATACTGGAAAGAGCGCTCAAAACAGTACCATAAAGAGTAAGTGGAAGAGGTAGTGGGAGTTCTCCCCCAGCTCATGCCATGAATTTGCGTTTCTGTAGGTGGACAGATGTTAAACAGGAATATGATGAATATGTTGAACAGTCGAGAGAAATGGAAGCCGAAATGGACGCAACTCTGGAACAAAAACAGAGTATAATCAAAGATCTCAGAGCCAAGCTTAATATGTTAGAGAAAGAAAATGATTCACTAAAGGTGCGTCTAGTTAAGAAAAACAAATATCATTTAATTAAACTATTATTTCTTCTAAAGCTCAAGCTAGATTCACACGGCATCGAAATGTCAAATCTGGATAAACAGTTCGAGTCGGTTAAAAAAGAACGTGACTCCATGAAAGAATACCTGCGACAGTTGGAGCAGAAAAACGATGATCTGGAGCGTGCGCATCGCATACTCAATGAGAGCATAGTAGACTTTGAGAAAATGTTGGACAAAGCCTATGAGAAAAATGCACTCCTCGAGATGGAGGTGGACGAGAAGGAAATGCTGCAGGAGAAGCTGCAGCGGCTAATGGACGAGACCCGCGGTGAGTTACACATGCAAATTAGTTAAATACTTCGTTTTACTAAAACCTTATTGCAGATCTCAAACAAGAGCTTAATGTGAAGTCGCGCTATACGCCAGCTAATGGCACAGCAGCATCAGCCGGTAACAGCTCGATGAACTCCTCAGCATCGCTGCCCAATGGGATTTTGGCCAACGGTGATATATTGCTGCAACATGACAATGCCGCCACAAAGGCGTCTAGCATGAGCGTTAGTGCGCTAAATGGCAGTTTAGCTAATAAGAACGAATATAATCAACAGCAACATTCGCTTAAAAGTAAGATACTCAATTCATTGAAGCAAACAAAACGCGCACTTAAACTATCAAAATCATGTCGCCATTCCAAGCCAACAAATTGCATTTAGTTTAGCTAGGCTACAATCACAACACACTGCGTGTCCACACCATGAAAATTGCACATTTTGTTAATTGTATATTTAAGTTTTTTTAAATTGTTTTTTTTTTCATATCTGTATTTGTACGCACAAAATTATTAAATGTAAGCTAAATTTTTCATATTTGCAACATTTCTCGTAGGCAATGCTTGTGTGTGTGTGTGTGTTTGTGCTTGTATCTGTCGTTAAACCATTGTAACTAACAATCATCTTGTCATCATGTTAACTAATTGTGTTTAGGCCTAGTCTACTTATATAACTAACCAAGCTGTGTTGTGTGCTTCCTTTGCAGATCCCGAGAACCTTATCAATGGCAACGCTATGAATGCCAGCTCCCGCACCACGGCGCTCAACATTGTGGCCGACATGTTAAGAAAATTGAACGTAAGTCCCTTAAAAAAAAAACACACTCCATGCATGGTGTCAGGAACGCTTCTTCTAACTTTATCCTTGCTATAGCTATATTTTTACGTTTGTTTTTGTTGTGGCTGCTTTTGTTCAATACTTTCTTCATATGTTTTTAGTGGGACAAGGCCTTGTTATGTCCTGAATGTCAAAAGTTTCGTTGCATCTGCGAACGTGCCTCGCTGTCATCGGGCAGCGAAACTAGTCTTTTTCGCCGCGCCTTTGGCAGCGCCAGCGGCGCCGGCGGCTCGCTGACAACGCCCAGTAGCGATGGCGGCTGGACCGACTGCAATGCTGCACAGCGTCGCGGCAGTTTAAGTAGCCTGCAGTTTGGCACAAACATATTTAAGCGTTTCGCGGAACGCATGCGCACCATACAGGACTCTGAGCCTGTGCCAGAGCCGCCTGTCTTGTGACGCATAAACCTGTTTACAAAAACGATTTGTAATTGCTTTTGGCTTTTGTCTTTGTTTGGCGCTTGCATTTATTAATTGCTTTTGTTAATAAATAACAATTTTTATTTTTGTAACTTAATCTATGTTTGTTTTTTGTATTTGTTGCTGTTTCTGTTTGTCGTCTGTTTTGCCGTTTGTCCATTTATTGATCACTTTTTTAATTGTATTGCAGGCCATGGAGACGAAGCTGAAAACATATCGCGAGCATGCGCCGCCGATGCAGCCACGTCAATGACCAGCAGCACCAGCAGCAGCATTGGCACTGCATTAATCGCCACTATTACTGACTGGGGGACGGCTGCCGCTGGAGGCGGAGTAGCAGCTGGCCACCAAATGTGGCAGTTGCACAATATTAATTGCAGTTGTCGTTTGTTCAGTTTTATTTTATAGTTACAGTTGTGCGCTACTGCCCGTTTATTTATTTCATTGAAATGACTTGTAAAAATTAACTATATTTTACTTATAAATAATACACAATTATTTACATAGTATGATGACGTCTGAAGTCGCCCCGCCCAACATATAACGCCTTATTAAGTACTTGTATGTAAACATTAATCTTAAGTCTGAATTAACCGACAGTTTTGATTTTCCTGTTAAGCATTGTTAATGGCCTTCAAATGTTTAATTTGGCTGCCGCGATAAGCACATTCATGGAATGTATATTTAGATTTAGTCATGTCCCAGTTTAGTTCACGTACACAGCACACAAACGCAAACAGCAGGCCATTGTAGCAAGCAGAGCTTTGATAGTGCACCAAAACATGTACATTCAATATCAATACACACACAGACACACACACACAGACATAAATGTACACAATTTGGACATGACTGAACATAGTGCTAAGTTCTTTGTGTAGTAAGTAGTACATCATAAGTTCAGCTGAGTAGAAAGTATTACAGCTCCCAGCAGCAGCCCTAATACACAGCATAATAAGCAACAAATACTCGTAGCATTAGAGAGGTTTATGGAGATACTCGTGTGGCAATTACACTTAAGTTAAATACAATTTATGACAACCCCACACATGAGTCCACAATCCTGCAACATTTAGTTAAATTTAACAACGTACAAACCCATACTGAAATATAATGATTTAACACGTTCTAATTTTCGGTTTATATTTTGATGCGAATATAAATTTTGTAAAAATGCAAAACTGTTATCATTATTATTATTATTAATATTGAACATTTTATATATATATATTACAACTTGTATATTTATAAAACAGCAACAATAACACACGCTAAATTATAAATAAAGAGATGATTAGTTTTAATAGAAATCCAACCCATCAACTGGTTCAAGTTTCAATGTCAACCACAACGTCAACGTCCACGTCACGTCAAAGTCGAAGTCACTGTCAAAAAGTTCTTTGTTGCTCTCATGTGCAATAAATAATTAATTAACAAAATATTTGTATTAATTTAGCAAAGGCTCGTAAGGGCTGCGTCAGTGGCTATGCCAAGGATATGCTGCCTAATACCGCATGTCCATACACACACACACACACACACACACACGCAGACACGCACGCACACTCACACGCACACACACATACGCCTGCACTTAAGCTTGTAAAAGCTTTAGCTGCAGCTTTTGTTTGCGGCTTTCTCCTGCGGCTTTTTTAGCACATTTTGGTGCGGGTTGCGCCTGGCTTTGCCCCAGGAAATTATGCTGTGCCTTAGCGCAGGGGCAAGCTATTGCCTGACCTTGCCACACAAGTGAGGGCGGGAGCTTGAGGATTGGG